GCAGGAGCCTGCTAGAGGTGACTGAGTCCTTCGGCTGATATACCTCAACAAGGAGCTTCCAAGCTTCCAAGGCTGTAGCGGCGCTCTCTTTGCATGAGCGTTTGCCGAGTTGCTCCGCAGGCGTCATATTGCGTAGCAACACACTGTACGCCATGAGGGATCCGCTGTAGTACTGAGCCCGAGCGTCTTCGGTGTCTTACACCGGTTTAGAATAGGAGCCGTCGAAGTAATGGTAAATCTGCGCCGTTTGTAGGAGCTTGAGCTCAAAACTCCATATATAGAAGTCCTTGCGGTCAAATGCGCCAGTAGTCTTGATTTTTGAAATGTTGAGAAAGCGTTCTTGCGTAGAATTGATGACTTCATCACTTGGACGGGGGGCAATTGTTGCTGATTTGTCTGTGTCGAGGGAGAAGGTGTGCGTGGCGGTATCACTGCTGTTTGTGGCCGGTTGAGCAGGTTGTGCTGGTTGCGAGAAGGTTACCACATCGCCTTTGTGCAATGCTTGGAGGTCTTTCTCCATAGTTGACAGTCTCGAGAACAACTGGTCGAGCGCAACTGTGCTTATAGTAGTTGTTGCCTCATTTTTCGCAGCCAAGTTGGCATGCCTTTCGGCCGTCAGATTCGTTTGGCCTTCAGGTCCTCCAGCCATCTTGGCTTTGGAGTGTGTGCCGCTCGCTAGATCTTGGTTCACCGAATTTCACTGAAGTGAAGTTGTGAAGAATCCCTAAATAGCACTCATACCATGCTACAATCCCAAATGGGACTTCATGGTTGATCGCAGTAGTGTTTCAGCGGAAGTGTTGACCTCAGGTCAGAGTAAATGTAAATGATTCGGATGATATTAGCATGCATACATCGAGTTTATATAGGAAATACAAAGGAATGCGAAACGACCTAGACTAGCCATGAACTCTAAGAAATACATTCCCTCATTACAACGAATTCAAACCGTGCGGCGCGGGAACCCGTTTCAAATCCGTTGTAGCTCTTTTCATTTCAAATGCTTTTGCCTGCATCAGTCCTGGTCAAGCGGTTGATAGTGTCGCTTCGACTCTTTTGACTCCTCGACTTCGTACTCGGTAGAGTCTTTCGGGAGCAATGTAGCACGCCAGGATGCTGAGAGGGTACGTGATGCCAGGTCGAGTGCACATCATCAAGTACATGAGGCAACCCACAATCTCTGGATACAGACCACTCGGCTCTACAAACTCGTCCGAAGGTGGAGCTTAGAGCGAGTGGCTTGTTACAGAGGAGTGGACTGTGGCGAGCAGAACTGAAAGCGGAAGCGCTGAAGGACCTGCTGCACCATGTGCGACTAAGTCAGAGTGATGGTGCGATCTGCTCTGTCCCGGGTGGCAGCGAGACGAGGTACAGTAGTCGCAAGGCACTCCAACTCAAACTGCATGTCCTCAAGAACGTCATAACCAAGGGCAAGCCCACCCCCGACGGATAGAGGACAGGCAGTGTCAGAGTCAGAAACGAGACTTGCAGTGTAGTTAAGGCGACACACAGCGTCTAAGTCTACGAGCTCAATGGCCAAAGAAGACGCATCAGCAGACTCAAACGTAGGGTGTGTGACAAGTGTGGCTAGTAGACAAATGACAGTCCGACTAGCAGCACAAGCAAGGTCAGACTTTGGGTTAGGAACGTGGGGAGGGAGGACTCAAGAGACAACGGAAGAACCGGACGCTGTGCAACAGGAAGGACGACGTGCCATAGTGTGCTCATTGGGAACAGGAGGAGGGTGAACACGGCGAGCACGAGAAGCACGAGCACGAATAGGCGAGGTAGTGGGAGAGAAAGCACGAGACTCAGGCTCTAGATGCTCGATCAAGGATTTGGGCAACAGGGAGTAGCGTGAAGGAGCAGGTAGAGGGAAGTCAGTAGGCTACGGCGAGTGAGATGGGTCAAGCGGTGGAAGCAGCAAAGGAGGAGTAGTACCAGCGACAGGGAACTCAATAGCCGCAGGTGGGAGACTGAGAAGGTGGCGTAGCGCGGACGGCTGCTGCTCACCAAAACCTCCAGTACCGCCGGCTCGAGTACCTCTAGCACCTCCAGCGGCAGCACCTCTGGTACCAGAACCTCCAGCACCACCAGCACCTCCAGCGGTACTACCTCTAGCACCGCCAGCTCCAAAACCTCCAACAACTTCAGCGGTAATCCCTCTAGCACCAGAACCTCCATCACCGCCATCTCTATCACCTCCAGCGCCAGCAACGACAGTACCTCCAACACCAGAGCCTCCAACACCACCAGCTCCAGTACACCCAGAACCAGCACCCCCAATAGTAACACCCCAAGTACTAGCACCTGAGTCTACCGCGTCAGGCTATAGAGGCGGCGAACACGGCTGAGATCGGAAACCAAGAGGAGCCTCTAAGCGTGGGGAACGACAAGAGACCGGCGTGTCGTCAGCAACAGAGTCACCTCGCTCAGCCAGGCCGGAGGGGCCCAAAGAGAGGGAGCAGGACGTGAAGGGGGGGGAAGGATCTACCGTAGGGTTATAATGAACCAAGAAAAGAGGGGGGGCACTGGGAAACTGTGGTGGCGGAAGAGCCGGTAGAAGGAGACTCACTCATCGAAAGTGATGTTTGAGATAACAGGATGCGACGCATGGCCGGGTGGTAAAACTGACAAGGCAGGGCGTTGGTGGGAAAGCTAAGGAAGACGCAGCAAAGAGTGCCAGGAGAGAGCTTGCCCGCGAGAGGATCGCGGACGAGGTTAAAAGAATCCCAGACCCGGAACTCTGACGCATCACCAACCTCCCCCGTCCAGAGTAGGGTAGGCAAGGTCTCCTGCTTGGAGACACGGGGCCTAAGGTTAAGGGCCACAAACGGCAAACGGCCACAGAAAATGGGGAGTAGCCGCATGGATCATAGGGGTGCGACCAACCTCCATGATCAAGCCAATGTGGCCCTCAGAAATCCTATTCTGTTATGGAGAGGCCGGATGATGCCTTTCTCAGGACAAAATTCCTCAAGAAGATGGGAGGAAGACTCACCGCCGCGGTCGGAGTGCAGACGGAGCAGAGGGAGGTCTTGTCGGAACTGTGTGCTTAGTTGGCTACGAACATCACGGAATTAAAGCCCACAGCCCAAGTTCAACCTTACTAAGGTTGACCATTGGGTGGTGGGGGAGGTGGAGAAAGAAAAGTCGAGGTGCTGGGAGGGTGGGTGAAGTTGGTTTCGCCCAGATTTTCGCCACGCTTTGTTTTTTCTTGCTGACTCAGCAAACACTAGGGGCCAGCTCGCGTTCAGGTGCGAGAGTCCCATGTTCCACAGATAGTAATATTGAAAGTTTCCCGCTGCTCACGTTTTGCGAACCCAGTGCAAGTCCGCTAGCCAATCAAATCTCTTCTCACATTTTGAACCCTAATTTGCAGAAGAAAAAAACATAGCAACGCAAGATCAAGATTAGTAAGGTTGACTGGCGCGATCCGCAACTTGGGCCGCGGGATTTAAGGGATCAAATCAGTGTGGACGTCGCCCGTACGCCATAAGGGAAACACCATGGTGTAGCGCGAGAAGTCATCAACGACCAGCGGGAACTAGCGCTCTCGGTCTGGCCCAAGGACGGGGTCTGCGCCCCACATATCTATGTGCAGCGCCAGTAGATAAGCAGTGGTCGGAGGAAACGAGGAGTGAGGAGCAGCGCGCTGCCGCCCCTCGACGTAAGAGCGGGGGAAGGTCGGCGGCACAAGCGACCGAGGGAGTAGGTGTCAAGAATGAAAGTGTTGGTTCATTGATGTGGGTTGGGGTACATATAACAAACCCTAACATCTGTACCCCCTAAGACAAACCTCACTACAGGCTACAACATTTGACACACCCCCATAGCCTATGTGAGGAGTGTCAAGCAAAACCAAAAGTGTACGGTCACAAGACTAGTCACAAAGAAATAAAGCTCAGGGTGGATCACAACGTCACCACACACTCTGAGCATAAGCAACAGGGGCCACAAGGCCAGTTCGAGAGTTCACAAGTGTGTATAGCAAGAGTACAAGCAAAGGAAATAGTAGACTCAAGCCTATACACGACTAGAAACTGTGTCAACAAGGCCTAACTGCACACAACACCTCAGGTGTTCACAAGGCAGAAGCGCCTTGGTGAAGATGTCTGCAGTGTTGGCCTCAGACTCCACAAACTCGAAGCGAGCCTGTCTACGTACGTGCGGTAGTAGTGAGTGATAGGAGTAGAGAGAGAAGCAGTGAAGGCCGACTTAGGGAAAGACGGAAGGAGAGACAGAGACGAACGAGGCGGACTAAAACGAAAGAGGGTAGTACGAAGGTTAGTAACGAGAACAAGAGACGAGGGATGAGCACGAGGGGAGCGACGAGAGGCCCAAGTCTGAGGAGGAGGGGACAACAGAGGCTAAGAACGAGGGAAAACAGCCGGGGAGGGGTCAGGAGGAGGAAGCGGAGGACCCGAGATGGAAGGAGAGGGGGAGGAGGAAGGAGAGCAGGAGGGGAGACCGAGGGTCCGAAGACCGGAGACAGGAGGAGGAGGCGGCGGCTGTTGCTACGGCGGCGGGTGCTGCTCCTCCTACTGCTGTAGCAGCTTCAGCTGTTGCGCCTCCTGCTGCTGCAGCGGCTCCAGCTGCGGCTGTTGCAGCTGCTCCTACTGCTGCTCCTCCAGCCGCTGCAACTCTCTCTCCTCTCTCTCCAACTCCACCTGCTCCTCATGGGCATGGCGAAAAAGAGTCTGGTGCCATGTCGGGTAGGGGTGGGGGGGAGGAGTAGTGTCGGGGGCTGCGGCAGCCCCGGGACCGCCCTCCAAAGCACCTCGCGCACCACCCCTAGAGTCAGCACCACCAACAGCAACACCCAGAAGACAAGAGTCTCCTGCAACCACGGGCTCAGCTCCAACTCCAGCACCCCCACAGCTAGCACCTGTAGGGCCCTCTCCACGAGCACCGGCTCCCGCAGAGTGTGCAGCAGGCTACAAGGAGGACTGCGGGGAAAGAGGCTGCACCTGAGGGGCTACCGAGGGGGGAGGGGTAGCCTAGGACACACCTGACGGGGCGGGACCAAGGGGGGGAGGCTGTACCGGGGGAGCAGGAGGGGGAGCGGAAGTCAGGAAGAGAGGGGGAGGAGGAACCGAGAGACCTCGACTGGGGTACCTGACGTAGTAGGGGGTGGACTCCTCAAAACAGACATCACGGGAGTCAAAGATCCGGGAGGGAGGGTGGTAAAAGGTGAAGTCAAAGGAGTCCTCAGAGAAACCAAGGAAGACACAGGAAACGGCGCGAGGCAAGAGCTTGTCCGCGGAAGTGTCGCGGACAAGAGCCAAGCAACCCCAGACACGAAACCTTGACGCAACACCAGGGGACCCGGTCCAAAGACTGGTCGTTGAAGCCTCTGGTCGAGAGACGCGTGGCCAGAGGTTCAGCTGGTGAGCGGCGTACCTAACCGCGTAGGGCCACAGAAAATGGGGGGCGCGGGTGTGAGTCAAGGAGGTGTGGGCGATCTCCATGACCAAGCCTATGCGGCGCTCAGCAACCCGATTCTGCTGTGGGGACTCTGGAAGCATCCAGAACTGACGAATGCCCTGCTCGCGACAGAATCCAACAAGAATGCCGGAGCGAAAACTCACCCCCCACGGTCAGAGTGAAGACAGCTGACACGACGACCACGAGTGCCCTCAGTGGTAAGCAACCACCTGATCAGCGTAGAAGTCACCTCAGACTTCTTTGCCAGGGGGAACACTGTGGCGTAGCGGGAGTAGCCGTCAATGACCACAAAAAAGAAACGCTCGCGCTCAGGGCCAAGGCGAGGGGCGGGGCCCCAAACGTCCAAGTGGAGCGTCTCAAAAGGCTCGGTGGCCGAACGAAGGGAGGAGGAGTGAGGGGTGGCGCGCAGCCGACCCTCGACGTAGGGATCGCACGGCGGTGCAAGTGAAGGCGGCAGCGACGGCAAGACACGCGGGAGGCCTAAGACAAGACGCTGACGAGACATAGCGCGCACACGAGGGAGGGACGGGTGCCCCGTCCGGTGGTGCCACAGAACGCTGGGGTGTGCAAGCGACTGGCAGGAGCACGACGCATCAACTGGACCAAACACGGGAACCTAACCAGACACAGCTACCTGGGGGGACGCAGCAACCTGGTGAGACGCAGGGACCAGACTGGGGGAAGTAACTGGGGCCGGGAGCAGGAGTCGCTGCTGCTACTGCTGCTGCTACCACTGCTGCTGCTGCTGCCGCCGCCGCTGCTGCTGCTGCTGGTGCCCACCAGGGCCAGTGTGAAGTGTGTAGAGACAAGAGCCCGACTCGGTAGTAAAGGTGGCAAGAGGCGAGTAAGTGTCGCCGTCAACACAAACCGCCATCTCACCAGAGGGCTCAATCCACACACCCACATGCTGACTCACGAGAGGCCTCACGCCCAGCAAGTTCCTTGAGAACGAGGGGATGTGGAAGCCAGTTAGAGACCCAGAGGGAATAGCAGGGCAAGGAAGAGTAGTAGTGTAGCAAGTAGTGACTGGTCCCGAGGTGGGATCAACCAGGGCCACAGAGACTGGCGCAGGAAGTGGAGTAAGTATCGTGTGGTCGCGGAAGAAGCAGTGCGAAGCCCCAGAGTCCAGAGTGAAAGACAGCGAAGCGTCCTCCGAAGTAGCGCCTAGACTAGTGTCTACACAAGTGCCTACACTAGCAATAGGTAACTCAGCAAGACTAGCACCTAAGCTAACAACACTCGAGAAAACAGAGTCAGAAGCACTAGAGTGAACAACAACATACATAGCATGAGGAGTTCCTAAGAGATCAAGCAACTGAGAAGCAGACATGCCCCAAAGAGCGGAGCCATACGTTTGAACAAGAGGTAACCAGTCAGGGGCAGGGCCGCCAACGCCGAAGGCCAAGCGAACCGTGTCAGTGAAGTGAGCAAATCACTGACCAGGAGGGTGGGTGCGGCCAGAAGTCTGGCCTTGGCGAGCACCTGTCAGAACCTGATAGGTGCACAAAGGGTGAACAACACCTCGCTGGGCGGTCGCTGTCCCAGCCCCGAAACCTACTACTGCCGCTGCTGCTGCGGGGGCTGCTGCAAGGGGAGGGGCTGCTGCTCCTGCACCTGCTGCTGCCGCTGGGCCAGGTACCACGCCCCTGCTCCACCCACCGCAGCCGGCAGACCAGGAGGAGGCTGACGAGTCCGGATGTCGCCTCCACCAGCTGCAATAGGGGAGTCACTGGCCGCTGCACGAGACGCCTCTCTAGGCCCTGCGCTCCCACCGCCACCGGTCGGCACGCCACCCCCACCACCTCCGCCGCCAACGCCGCCACCGCCGCCGCCGCCTGAACCCTGACAGCCCCTCCTGCCACCCCTACCTCGAGACCGCAACGTAGTCGTAACAGCAGCTGCAGTCACGTCAGTAGTGGCAGTGGCAAGTGAGGCAGTAAAAGTGGGCAGCTGAGGGACAGTGCACCCGTGAAACAGTGGAGGGGGCACAGCACCAGAGGCGGAGGCTACTGAGCGGAGGTTGCTCTCGACGTCCTTGAGCGCAAACTCAAGGACCTCGATAGTGAGCTCACTAAGGTGCTTCAGAAGAAGCGTGTCACGAACCGAGGCAAGGCGGCCAGGGAGGCTAGTGGCAATGAAGTAGATAGTAATCGCCATAGGAGGGGGAAGCAGTGCAAGCTGTGCGTTAGTGCAAGTAGCACGGTAGCAAAAATCGAGGGAGCGGAGGTGAGCAATCAAGTCAGCAGAGCGCTCAAACGAGGCGAGGTCAGGGAACAAGAACGGTAGGAAGAGGCGGCCAAGGGAGACAATGGTGGGAGTAGCGTAGCGGGCCTTGATAGCAGTGCGAGCCTGAGTGAAGTGGGCCTCCTCAGACTCAGGGAGGAGGCTACTAAGAGCGATGCAGGCCGCAACGTCACGCGACTTCCACGCCGTCAGGTCAACACGCTGGCGGGTAAAGCGGTCTCTAGCGGCGTCGTCAGGGGCAGGGCCTAAAGGCGTAGGGTCGTGGGGCGTAGGAAGGTCACCAGTAGCGTGCGCCCAGAGGGACTCGCTCGCCTGGACCTGACTCTCTAAAAGGCGACGCGCGCGTAGGATCTAGACCGGAAACTCGAGCGGTCTAACCGTTAGCGTCAAAACGAAAAACACTAGGGGTCGCCATAGCAAAAGCAAAGAGGTGGGAAGTGCTGCTGCTGAAACCCTAATCACTGAGAGCGACTCTGTAGCGCGCTACAAGACATAGGGTAGGGCGCTGTAGTGGGGTAGCCCACAAGGGGTACAACCCAATTAGGGTTAGTACTTGTACCCAACTCTTTCATAGTTCAATCATTCTCGTTTCTCATCATGGTATCGAGCAGGTTCCCCAATGGGAATGCTGCCTAGGGCCCCCACGATTTTTTTTTTTCCCTTGCCCGGAGCGCGCTTCACTCCTACCCGAGTCGCGTTTCGTGTGCCCTACCTACCCTCGAGCCGCCCTTAGTGGCCCCTTTGGCCGCCCTTACGGCCCCTTGCGCCGCCCTCTAAGGCCCCTCGCGCCACCCTTACGGCCCCTTACGGCCCCCTATGGCCCCTCGCGTCGCCCCTCTAAGGCCCCTCGCCCCTCGCACCGCCCTTACGGCCCGTTACGGCCCCGCCTAGGCCCCTTACGGCCCCTTCGCGGCGCGTCTAGGCCCCTTGCGGCCCCATCTAGACCCCTCCGCGGCCCCGTCTGGCTCCTTACGTCCCCGAATAGGCCCCTTACGGCCCCTCAGCGGCCCCGTCTAGGCCCCTCCGCGACCCCGTCTAGGCCCCTCCGCAGCCCCGTTTGGCCCCTTGCGGCCCCATTTTGGCCCCTCCGCGGCCCCGCTTAGGCCCCTCTACGGCCCCGTCTGGCCCCTTTACGGCCCCATTCAGGCCCCTTCGCGGCCCCGTCTGGCCCCTTACGGCCCCGTTTAGGCCCCTCAGCGGCCCCGTCTAGGCCCCTTTCAGCCCCGGCTAGGCCCCTTTCGGCCCCGCTTAGGCCCCTTTCAGCCCCGTCTCGGCCCCTCTGCGGCCCCGCCGCCACCTGCGCCCCCATCGCCGCCACCTACGGCCCTGTCTCCGTAACCCGCAGCCCCGTCGCCCTACCCTAGCTGCCCCATCACCGCTCTGCCGCCCAGCGACCGAGCCGCCGAGCAGCACAACAGCCGAGTCGCCCGCCTACCAAGCAGCTGAGCCGGCCAGCAGCCAAGCCGCCCCGCAGCCGAGCCACCGAGCAGCCGAGCCGCCCAGCAGCCAAGCCGCCCTGCCGCCAAGCCGCCCAGCAGCCGAGCCGCCCTGCAGCCGAGCCGCCCTGCAGCCGAGCCACCCTGCCGTCGAGCCGCCCTACTGTCTAGCAGCTAAAGTTCCTACCGGTGCTCCCCGGCCCCTCCTTCCTCGGACTGGTGAGCTCACTTCCTCCTAGGCCACTGCACTCATGGCTACCCCCAGTGTCCTCACTTTTGATGCTGAGGGCCGTGCCGTTCACTTTGAGGTCTGGGTCGATGACCTCCAGCTACTTCTCCACTGCGATAGGGCAAACGGCCTCTCCCTGTTTGACCTAACTTCTGGTGCCTCTCCTGCCCCTGCTGCTGATGCTGACGCCACTATTCGCTCACAGTGGGCCACGCGCGATGCTGCTGCTCGCCTTGCTGTGCGCCGCCACTTACCGACCACTGAGCGTGCACACTTAAGCCAGTACAAGAGTGTTCAGACCTTGTATGACGTTGTAGTTGCACGCTACTCTTCCCCTGCCACTGCTGCACTGAGCCGCCTCATGCTACCGTACCTCTTCCCTGACCTTGCTGCCTTTCCCACAGTCGCTGACCTCATTACGCACCTCCGCACTAGTGACACTCGCTACCGCGCTGCGCTTCCTGCTGAGTTCTGCGCCAAGAACCCCCCCCCCCCCCCCCCCCCCCCATGTACATCATTCTCTACTACATAGTCACCCGGCTCCTTGACTCTCTTCACATAGTCAGGGACCACTTCCTCGATGTTTGCCCCACCACTCTCATCGCTGACCTCCTCGAGAAGGCCCTCCTAGCGATAGAGAAGAGCATAGTCGCTGTAGGAGCCTCTCGTGGTGACCCTTGCACCCCCGTCTTTGAGGGGTATTCTCCCTCCCCCCTCTTGTCCCTTTGTTGCCTCTGTTGCTGCGACCGACCTCGTTGGTTTCAAGTCGGTCGGCACTGCGTCTGCCCCGAGCAGGAAACGCCGCACCGGCAGGGGCAAAGGGGGCAAGGGCACTGGAGGGGCTGGAGGGGGCGGTGGAGGTGGTGGTGGAGGCAGTGGAGGGAGTGGGGGTGGTGGTGGGAGTGGTGCCGGGGGTGGCGGCGGCGGCGGTAGCAATGGAGGAGGCGGAGGCGGTGGAGATGGAGGAGGGAGCGGAGACAGCGGAGGTGGCGGAGGGAGGCGGAGGCGGCGGCGGCTGCGGTGGTGGAGCGGGTCACGACTCTGCGCAGAGGAGTGGCTCAGGTGGTGGTCCGCGCCAGCAGCAGCGGAGTGGTGTGACCCAGTCCCCTCAGCAGCTTTGTAAGTGGTACACTGCGCGTCAGCGCGGTGGGGGTTTTGGTCCCTGCGCTTACGTCCTCCGTACTGGCGACCGAACTGGTGAGCAGTGCGGAGGCCCGCACTCCACCCAGCGCTGCTTTGGTCGCCTGACGGATACGTGGCGTCGCCAGTTCCCTGAGGCATCAGAGATCCCTCGCTGGGGAGATCTGACTAAGGCCGGGGTTGCTATCTTTGATCTTGACTTTGATGCTATTCTTGCTGCCATGTATGCTGTTGATACTAGTGTTGCCGGTGACCGTTACCTGTGTGTACCACCTGACCCGGGCATTGAGGCCGCTGCTCTAGGTGCTGGTGAGGCTGCTGCTCTAGGTGCTAGTGCGTCTGCTGCCCCAGATGCCAGTGCATCTGCTGCCCCAGGTGCTGGTGAGTCTGCTCTCTCAGGTACTACGTCGGCTCAGGCCTTCCACACCTTCACCCTTGACTCGGGTGCGTCCCGCTCCTTCTTTCGAGACCGCACGACTCTTACGCCGCTCAGTCGGACGGTTGCAGTCTCCTTAGCAGACCCCTCTGGGGGTCCTGTCCTTGCTAGCTTCTCCACTGTCCTACCGTGCCCAGCAGCCCCCTCTGGCACCCTGTCTGGTTTCTACCTCCCCTCGTTCTCTACGAACTTGGTGAGTGGAGTGGACCTACAGGATAGGAGGGTTGACCAGTTCACTCCTGCGAGTTAGCGAGTGACCCACTGCACGTGTGCTCAGACAGGCCGACACTTGGCCACGTTCACCCGTCGGCCAGGGTCGAGCCTGTACACCCTTACTACTGAGTCTCCTCCTACTACTGAGTCTGCCCAACTAGCTGCGTCAAGTCAGGTGTTTGCTGCGGCGTCCAGGTCTGGTCCTGAGGCTGCTCCGTGCTCGTATCGTCTGCTGTCCCACCAGACTCTCCTTTGGCACTACCGCCTTGGTCACCCCTCCTTGCCTCGTCTCCGAGGCATGGCCTCCTGTGTCCTTGTCTCTGGTCTCCCTCGGTCTCTCCCTCCCCTTCCTGTTGGGCCTGGTCCTACCTGCGTCTCCTGCGTCGAGGGGCGACAGCGCGCCGCCCCTCACTCCTCCGAGTTTCCTCCGACAGAGGCTCCGCTGCAGACTCTCCACATGGACGTGTGGGGCCCAGCCCGCGTCGGTGGGCAGGGGCGAGAGCGGTACTTTCTGCTGGTGGTTGACGAATACTCGCGTTACACCACAGTCTTCCCCTTGCGCAGCAAGGGTGACGTCAATGAGGTGTTGATCGACTGGATCTGCGCAACTCGTCTCCAGCTCAGAGAGAGTTTCGGCTCGGACTTTCCTGTTTTGCATCTGCACTCGGACAGAGGCGGGGAGTTTCCTCTGCCCATCTGGGAGCCTTTTGTCGTGCACAGGGCATCCGCTAGACCTTCACGCTTTCGGCCTCTCCACCGCAAAATGGGATTGCTGAGCGCCGCATTGGCATGGTCATGGACGTCGCTCGTACGTCCATGATGCATGCGGCTGCCCCCCATTTTCTGTGGCGGTTTTCGGTTCAGTACGCCGCACATCAGCTCAACCTTCAGCCCCGGGTCTCCTTGCCAGAGACCTCCCCTGCCTTGTGGTGGACCGGGAAGGTTGGCGATGCGTCTGCGTTTCAGGTCTGGGGATCTCGGGTGCTTGTCCGCGACTTGTCTGCGGACAAGCTGTGCCCCTGTGCAGTTCCCTGCGTCTTCCTTGGTTTTCCCCCTAACGCGCCTGGATGGCAGTTTTACCACCCCACCTCGCGCCGTGTTCTGTCCTCCCAGGACGTCACCTTTTAAGAGTCTGTACCTTACTACCGTCTCTTCCCCTACTACAATGCGCCTCTCCCCCTGCCGCCGCTCTTCCTTACACCATGTCCTCCACCGGTAGACCCCCTCCCTCCTCAGAGTCCTGCCCCGTGAGGTGTGTCCTAGGTAGACACAGTCGAGCCTGTCGAGGTAGCTGTTGACTCTGGTGTTGCTAGAGGTGGCTGAGTCTGGGGGTGCTGAGACTGGGGGTGCGGAGCTTGGGAGTGCTGAGCCTGGGGGCGCTGAGTCTGCTCGTGTGGCCGCCGACGGTGCTTCGTCGAGGCGGGAGCCGCTCTCTCCACAGGAGCTGTGCGAGTGGTTTGCCCGCCGCTGGAGACGTGCTACTGAGACTGCGGGTGCTACTGGGGCTACTAGAGTTGGTCCTGATGGAGCTGCTAGCGGTGCTTGTGCTACTGGAGCTGAAGTTGCTAGGGGTGTTGGCGCTGGTGATTCTACTCGCGCTGGTTCGTCTGGGGTGCTACTGAGGCTGCTCAGGCTGACGGTCCTACTGGAGTTGGTGCTGCTGGAGCAGGAGCTGCTGGAGCTGGAGCTGCAGGGGGTGTCGGCGCTGGCGGTGCTGCTAGCGCTAGTGCTGCCGCTGGGGGTACTGGTGCTGTCCTTGCGGGTTCTCGAGGCGCTGCGCGGCCCGCGGCCGTACTTCGTTCCGCTCCTGGAGTAGGTTCTTGGTCTCCCGCCTTCTTCTGGTCCTGCTCCTTACTTAGAGTCTCCACAGCCTGTCCAATCGCAATCACAGTTACAGCCCACCTCCCCACTGCCTACTCCTTCTCCCTACACTGGTCCTACTCGAGGTCTTGCTGAGCGTC